AATCACCCGAAATAAAACACAAAGGGGGTGGGAAACAATGGCAGAGCATCTAAGCACTGTGGTAAAATATCAAACAATTTATCATACACATAATTGGAATATCAAGAGGAGATGAAAGAGAGAACAGGGCAGAAGACATATTTGAGAAAATAATGCCCCAAAAGTAAAAAAATCAGTGGTTGGCAAGGATTAGGGGAGAGGAAGGGATGAATAGGTTGAAAACAGAGGATTTTTAGAACTGTATGATAGTACAATTGTGGATATGTGTCTATACACATCTATTCCAAAGCCATAGAATGTATGGCACCAAGAATGAACCATGATGTAAATTGTGGACTGTGGGTGACAACGGTGTGTCAGTGTAGCTTTGTAAGTTGTGACAAATACACCACTCTGGGGAAGGATGTTGACAGTGGGGGAGATTACACACGCGTCAGGGCAAGGGGTATGTGGGAACTTTCCGTGCATTCTGCTCGGTTTTGCTGTGAACCTAAAACTGCTCTAAAATATAAAATTAATGAAAGAACAAGAACCCATTTCTCCCTCCTCTCCTTTCTACTTGTGGCATTACCTTTAGTTCTAGGTCCATTCCTCATCCTGCGTGTTCTGGATCTGTGTAGACTTTATTCTGCTCCCCTCCACTTTTTGCCTGTGGTCATTGGGCTCTAAGTCCTATTTATCCTTTTTTAAAAATTCTCTCTTTTCTCATCTGCCTTATCTTTTCACATTCGGCCTGTTCCATCCCCCACCCTGCTCTACCCACCTTTTGAAAAATGGGAGTGCTTAGGTTAAGAATTGCTGAGAGGGATTGGATCTAGCATGTTAGGGATACCCTGATTCTTTGAGATTCTCTATGAACTGGTGACCCCTCAGGGTGGGATGGATATCTAGGGTTGATGGGGTGCAGCGAGATGTTGATATCCAGGCAGAGTTGCAGAGACATTGTAAAACTTCATGAACACCTACATGAGAGTAGCAATTGTGTTTTCTTTTCCTTAATGCTGCAAATTGATTTGGTTTCATATCTCCCTTGAGAAATTAACAGATGCTTTTGGAACTTGATTAGCATATGTGTCCGGGGCTCTGGCTCAACATTAATGAAGAAAAATATGGGCTCTTAGAAAATTCCCTGGACAGCAGGCAATGCCAGATGGGTGATGGGTTCTACAAGTTGAGTTCCTAAGAGGGGAAAGAGAATCATTCTAGCCAAGGGATGGTTTTGTCTCATAACTCAGGTCCCAAAAGACTGGTTAGAAACATAACATATGCTGATTTCTTTCTCTAATGCAACTTTAGAGCCTTGGTCACCAAAGGAAACAGGTAGGAGGAACTACTAGAAATGGAAAGAAAATATTAGAATTCTATTTACTTTATTTTTAAAAAGTTTTATTTTGTTTCACCTAATACACATACATACTTATATAATTTTATTTTTTTTATTTTTTTATTATTTTTTTGAGACAGAGTCTCGCTTTGTTTGTCCAGGCTAGAGTGAGTGCCGTGGCGTCAGCCTAGCCTCACAGCAACCTCAAACTCCTGGCTCGAGCGATCCTTCTGCCTCAGCCTCCGAGTACTGGGACTACAGCATGAGCACATGCCGGCTAATTTTATATATAATATCAGTTGGCCAATTAATTCTTCTATTTATAGTAGAGACGGGTCTCGCTCTTGCTCAGGCTGGTTTTGAACTCCTGACTTGAGCAATCCGCCCGCCTCGGCCTCCCAAGAGCTAGGATTACAGGCGTGAGCCACGCCGCCCGCCTATACTTATATAATTTTAGTAAACTTTTCACACTCAGGTTCCAAGAACTTGGCAGACTTGAACTTGAGAGAGAAGTAAATTCTTACCTAGCTCTTGGAAGAGTAATTTGATAGAGGAGGATACCATTCTTCAGTTTCTACCTCCAGGGTAGTTTTCTGTATATAGAAAAGAATGGAGCTTAAAATTGTTCTGTGATGATAATTTTACTTAAAAACTCAGGAGAATATCATTTCCTTAAATTAATATGGCAGTTTCTAGATTGAAGAATTATCCTTTTAATTTTCCTGGCTGCCTTCCTAGGAACAAGTATGTATTTTTAGTGCAGTCGACTTTTATTTTTCTATTGCATTTAAGTTAAAAATATTTGCATTATATCAGTTCTCAGTATTTCATAGTAAAATAGTTTCAGTCATTTTCTAACACAAATGAGGCAGACTTCAAAACAAAACAGTCTTTTAGAATCTATTCAAGCCATCAGCATCAGCCATTACTTGGAATGGTTAGTAAGAGCAGCAGAATAGAACCATAAATATATTTGTCAACCCTTGGAGCCTACTAGTAGCATGTATATGTTAGCTAGATATGTGGTAACCCCAGGGAAGTGCTCAAAATAGGCATCCTGTATGCCCATGATATTTTTTTCCTTTTCTTGTATATATCTGAGGTACACAACATGAGGAAACAATCCACAAAATGAAATGTCAGCCAATGGATCAGGAGAAAATATTGCAAATGATATATCAGATAAGGGGTTAATACCAAACTATAAGGCACAACACCACTCATAGCAAAAAACAAATAATCAGGTCAAAAAATGGCCAGAAGAACCTCAATAGACATTTCCAAAGAAGACAAAAATGGAGAAATGTATGTGAAAAGTTGCTCAACATCACTAATCATTAGAGAAATACAAATCAAAACTACAATGAGATATCCCCTCACATAAGCTAGAACAGCTATTATCAAAAAGAAAAACCCAGAGATAACAAGTGTTGGCAAGGGTGTGGAGAAAAGGAAACCTTTGTACACTGTTGGTGGGAGTACAGACTGGTTTAGTGACTGTGAAAAACCATAAATATGGAGGCTTCTAAAGAAATTAAAAATAGAACCACCATATGTGACTCAGCAGTCACCCACCATATGTGACTATCTTTCACCATGAGAATCAGCTAGTCATGATCTGTCCCTTTGTTTATTGTGAGTTGTGCCTTCCCCTCGAAGAGGCCAGAGCCTTGGTCATGGGTCCCCATCGAGAGCAGGCTGCACCCCAACCTGCCCGTTCCCACTCAGTCTGGCAGAGAGCATGCCTGTGGATGATTTTGTGAAAGGTACAGCAGAAGTCTCAGTTCTAGTAGGCAGAGACAATGGGATTGATAACTGAATTGGCCTGTGACAGGAGAATGCCCATATTCACTGCCCAGTTGGGCTTATCATTAGCCCATGCTGGCTGAGAAAGAGTGACACAGTTGATGGCCCATACTGGTGGCTAGCACAGAGCAGACATCACCACGATCATGGCCAGCGACTTGGCTGGGTGGATCTCTCACTGGAGAGAGGTCCTTGATTAGCCTATTGGTGAGCTGAAACTGCCTGCAGGCCACCATGAAGATGGACATCACCAGCGTTATGAGCAGCAGGGGCAGGACACACCCGAAGACATTGAAATATAGCAAGTAGCTCGTGGGGACCACATCCTCGCACTCCGCAGGGCAGCAGCTTCCATTTGTGCTTCTGTCCCAGGGCTCCGTACGATTGTTGGTGGCACCGTCTTTCCTGCTTCACCCCAGGAATGGAGTCAATCTGGTGGCAAGGACCCAGAGGACAGCAGTGACTCGTCTTGCTCGGGTCTCAGTGACCAAACGTTTAAACCCGAGCAGGACGCAGATGGCAGATGGCCAGGTAGCTATGGACAGCCACGGCCAGGAGGCTGAAGCGGGAGCTGTGTGTGAGCCTGAGCACCACGCAGGCGAGCAAGAGGCAGTCAGGGCAGAAGCCCAGGTGGATGGAGATGGCAAAGGGGGTGGCGGACTGCCCCACGGCCATGTCAGCCGCCGCCAGGGACACCAGGAAATAGTTGGTGGGCGTCTGCAGTGCACAACAAGCCCACTGAGGCACACAGCAGCACGCCACCCTGCTGCGTGGTGATGGCCAGCTCTGCTGCCCCATGCAATGCACCTTGCACCTCCAGCATCAAGGCTGGGCCAGCAAGCCCTGAACATCACCTGCCAGGGCCGTGCTGGGCACTGGGCAGCCGGTGGGCCCCACCAGGCATGGCCGGAGTGCCGGGACTGAGTCTCCACCAGCTGTCCTTTTAAGATTTCTATTTCTGCATTTGTTTTCTGTTAGTAACTACTATATGCATGTATCATACAAATAGTAACTATTTATCTTTTAGAAGTACATATGCTCAATCATTGTTTAACAGTGAAGGTTGTGATCAAAAGTTCTGGAGACCCCTGCTCTGGAGAGTCTCTGATCCAGCGCTTTGGAGCAGGGGTCCTCAAACTTTTTAAACAGGGGGCCAGTTCACTGTCCCTCAGACCGTTGGAGGGCCGTTGGACAGTGCGGCGCACATTCCACACATGCGCACTGTGGGCCCGGGACGAGTCGGCTGCTAAGCAGGACAGGCAGCGGCGACAAAAACACCCGGAAGGCTGGACAAATGTCCTCGGCGGGCCGCATGTGGCCCACGGGCCATAGTTTGAGGACCCCAGCTTTGGAGCTTGCCGCGGACTGCGCTGCGGGGCGGGTCTGACGTGCTGGCCCGGCGCAGTCCGGCCAAGGGCACAGGCCAGTCTGTGTGCAGGACAGCAGCACGGAGGTTCTGGGGAAAGACTTGGTCTTGAGGGGGCAGAGAGCTGCTTCTCTGGGAACAGCAGCTGGGATGGCTGTCCCCTGTGCCCCAGGGCTCCCTCCTACTGGTAGCAAGGCCCTTTGATCACATTCTTTACTGCGGAGAGGGAGTAACCCTTTCTCAAGGGGAAATCTGATGGCATAGGAGGCCTAGGACTCCCCCGATCAGGACATTGTGATGGTTGGGGCAGTGGATGCGGTCGGCATGGTAGAGCCTGACGTCTTAGGAATCGCATCCTTCCTCCCCAGCTGTGCCTCCTGCTTCTGAAGTGATCGACCGTATGACAAACACTACTGGTTGCCTAACAGAACCCCAATGTCGTTTTTGGTGGCGATGTGCCCAGCTGAAAACTCTAGTTCTCAGCCTCTCCTCTCCCCTCGCCAGGGTCAAATTCAGAAGATGGTGCCCATCTTCTGTCCTTCACCTTCCTCTTCCTCTTGTCGGAAACGCCGAGTGACGTTGTGGGCGGGGCAGCTGTGCTGTGACCACACAGCACCAAGGACGAGCATGGATGGACGGCTGCGTGGAAAGACAGGAGGAGCCTGGGTCCCTGAAGGACCGGGTCTGCCCCACCCAGAGTTTTTGTTACAAGAAGAAAATAAATCTCTGCTTGATCCGGCCACTGTCAGACGATTGGGTTTTCTGTTACTCCCAGGGGACTTTGGTGCTAACAAACGTAAACGTCACCGCTGCAGGGCTCTCTGACACTCCGGTCTAGGCTGTTGACTTCATGCAAGACGCTCGCACACTTAGGAGTGAGGAGTGTGAGTTTCCTGTGTCTTTTGGGGCCCTTGTTTCCTCTCTTTCCCCGGCAATGGTAGAATAAAAAAGGTGTCTAGTCATTCTGCTCGTCGGCTTGGCTGTGCTTGCTGATGGGGGGAAAATGCCAATTTGACTCATGTTATCAGACTTTGACTTCAAGTCCTGGAGGGAGAGGGAGGCAGTGAACTGTGTCCTCAAGAATAACTAGATCTGTCAAGAATGTGGAAAGTCAAAGTCACGATGAGGTGCCACAGCCGGTTACGCAGGCTTGAGAGAGCTGAAGGTGTCCCTCTCTTCCTGATCCACGTGCAGGGACGTCGTGCTGGTGGCTTGGAGTTGGCCGTGGTGACAGTCTGTACATCATGGATGTGGGCAAATGCTACAAATCAGCAAGTTAAGGCTTCCCCCCACCCCTTTTTCTGGAGAGCCAGGTGAAACATTTACAAGATCTGGAAAAGACCAGAGGCTTACTTTAATATTAACCGATCAATATTGGCTCGTAGCTTCCATATCTTCTCTTGCTCCCGCATGTTGTCAAATAAGCCATACGTGAGCGGAATCAGGGAACGGCTGCTTTATACTGAACACAGGCTGAAATCTTACCATGTGTTTGGGCCCAAGGAGAACCCTTAAACGTTCAGACTGAAGGCAAAACTAATTTTAACTTGACTTTGGCTCAGCAGTTGTCATCTGATCATGTTCTTGTCTCAGCAATTCATCTCAGCAACTAATCAGCCCTCCCGCCCCCGTCCTGTTGGCAATCTATAGGGCCTTGGCCTCTCGCATACCTGGCTTCTTGCTCTGTTTGTGTCACCCTCAGAAACCCTTGACTCTGAGTCTAGCACAACAGTTTGTTACCTGCACCCAGACACCTCATAATCTTCTCTGCCTCAGCACCTGGGTGCCGGGGTACAGAGAACTAAACAGACGAAACTCCTGCCCGCAGGAAGCCAACATTCTAGCCAGGGGCCTATGGCAGGAGGCATCATGGCCTCCTTGACACTCCTCCATCAAGAGTTGGGGTATGTATTCCCTTCCCTTGAAATGGGATGGGTCTTCAGAACTGCTTTGACCAAAAATGTATGGTCAGTCCTAAAAGGGAACATAGCTTCTGCCTGGCTCTTTCTCTTGGGATACTTTCTGTTGGATCCCCAAGGCCCTCTAAGAAATCTGGCAACCCCAAAGCTGCCATTCAAAGACACCACATGGAGAAACCATGCAAAGATAGAGAGAGATGCCCATGGTGCTCCACCTGCTCCAGGTGCTCAAGTGCCCTACCTGCTCCAGACGCTCAAGGTCCCCTTCCTGTTCCTGGTGTGCAAGTGCCCTATCTATTCTAGGTGTCCAAAGTGTCCTGCCTGGTCCAGGTGCCCGAGATGTACTGCCCATTCCAGACACCCAACATGCCCTACTTTCCCCAGGCCCCAGCTGTACAGTTCTCTCCAGCACAGGCACCAGCCATGTGCACAGTAGAGCTTCCAGATGATTCCACCTTTGAGCCACCCCAACTTTGCTGAGCGGAGCAGAAATTAACTATCCCCTGCTGAGCCCTGCTCAGATTACAGATTTGCGAGTGAAGGAAATAATTGTTTTATGTTTTAAGCCATTGAGTTTTGGGATGGTTTGTTATGTAGCCATAGTAACTGGAACAGGGACAGACAATAAAGAAGATAAATGAGCAACAACAACACACACACCATTAAGTGCTAAGGAGAAAAAAGAAAGCAGGGAAGGGAGGTATACCATCTCGGGGCAGGGTTGAAATTGTATGTAGGGTGGCTACGGAAGGCTTCATGGAGGAGGTGACTTCTGAGTGGAGGTCTGCAGGAAGTGAGCCTGCCGGCTGTGTGGGCCGTTCCAGGCACGGAGAATGGACGCCTGTTTGGCGTGCTCCAGACATAGGTGGGAGGCCGGTGTAGCTGGGGACAGGCAGGGAGAAGAGTAGAGATGAGCTAACGAGATCCAGAGATACAGATCATGTAGGGTTTGTAGTCTCGGTGAGGATTTTAATCTTTACTCTGAATGAGATGGGATCACTATGGGTTTTGAGGGAGGTGTGACAGGATTCTGTTTGAATCTGAATCAGATCACATTTGTTTTTTGTTTTTTTTTGAGACAGAGTCTCACTCTGTTGCCTGGGTTAGAGTGCCATGGCATCAGCCTAGCTCACAGCAACCTCAAACTCCTGGGCTCAAGCGATCCTCCTGCCTCAGCCTCCCGAGTAGCTGGGACTACAGGCATGCACCACCATGCCCGGCTAATTTTTTCTATATATATTAGTTGGCCAATTAATTTCTTTCTATTTATAGTAGAGACGGGGTCTCACTCTTGCTCAGGTTGGTTTCGAACTCCTGAGCTCAAATGATCCGCCTGCCTCGGCCTCCCAGAGTGCTAGGATTACAGGCGTGAGCCACCGCGCCCGGCCCGGGCTCGGTTCTTTTGAGTGGAACTTGTCCAGTGACAAGGGCCTTTGTATGGCTGGTACCACCGAAATGGGAGGTTGGCTCCAGCTGCTGGAACACCTGCCACTCCTGAGCGATGGGGGCCAATATCTAAGGGGCAGGGGAGCCAGATTAGGAACTGGATGAGGCCCCTGGGGAAGGGCTTGTCGAATGCTGGTTCCCTTAAAGGACCGTTGAAACAACTTGTTGATAAGGCAGCTGAGTTCATTGCTTACCCAGGTAATGGGCAATACTACCTTGATGGAGTCATGGTAGCCTCTCAGAGTGGAGAGGGCAAAGCCAGGGTGTTTATCAGGTATTGGAGTCTATTTTAAGGTGGGGCTTCAGCGTGGTGACTTGATTACGATTGGGTAAGGGTCATGGTGGCATAGTTTGAGATTGGCAAGCACAGTGAAGCCAACATTTTTTTTTTGAGACAGAGTCTCACTCTGTTTCCTGGGCTAGAGTACCATGGTGTCAGGCTAGCTTATAGCAACCTCAGACTCCTGGGCTCAAGCAATCCTGTTGCCTCAGCCTCCTGTGTAGCTGGGACTACAGGCATGCGCCACCATGCCCGGCTAATTTTTTTCTATATATTTTTAGTTGGCCAATTAATTTCTTTCTATTTTGGTAGAGATGGGGGTCTCACTCTTGCTCAGGCTGGTTTTGAACTCCTGACCTTGGGCAATCCACCTGCCTCGGTCTCCCAGAGTGCTAGGATTACAGGAGTGAGCCACCGTGCTCGGCCTGAAGCCAGCATTTTGAAGTGAGGGTTCCAAAGAGTCTTTAAGAGTAACAGTCATCTGATGCTATCTATTGAAAAGTCAAACCCTTTTAAATAGATTTGCAACATTTATCTTCCTGAAGTTTCTTGGAAGAGTAAAGTCATGCTCATAAACAGAATGGAATTTTAATGTCATGTTAGTGCAGATAATAAGCTATGTGGGTGTAGATGGTTTCAGTTCTCAGACCTACTTTTTGAGATCTTCTCCACCCCCACCTTTTTTTTTTTTTTTTTGAGACAGAGTCTCACTCTGTTGCCTGGGCTAGAGTGCAATGGTGTCATCTTAGCTCACTGCAACTTCCAACTCCTGGGCCCATGCGATCCTCCTGTCCCAGCCTCCCCAGTAGCTGGGACTACAGTCATGTGCCACCACACCCGGCCAGATCTTCCCCCTTTGGATTCTGAGGAAAGCCTCATTAAGAAAGAGGTTTAACCTCTCCCCAAACAAATTCTAACTCTGTTTTGACATTGTGTCCACCCTTCAGCAAAGGAATTACTGTACTCCATATTTTCGCAGTGAAGGGGAGACTCATTTCTACAAGAGCCCGAGGGCGGTTCATCTGATTGGTGGGAAACCGAGACATCTATTAGACCGCATTACTCACCGTGGAAGCTCCACGTGTGGGAGTATTAGGTGCCTGCTGGATGTGCTCCATCTGTCCCTCCGGAACACTCTCTACCCTTTGCCGTCTGCTCTGTGTGGGGGGAAGTTGACCTGTGTGGTCTACACCAGTCTGCTCCCTTGCCTGAACGAAGCAGCTGATGTGAAGCACTGACCAGAGGTTAGAGCGTGGGAAGAGAGTAAGGCTGGGGTGTTTGTTCCCCTAGGGCCCTCCTTCATGGTCCTCGGAGGGCTGGCTGCATTCCCTAGCCGAATATCACAGCTCCTGCCATGTGGCTCTTTCCAAACAGGCCTTTCCATCTCTGGGTTCTTGGAACAGGTCTCTCCTCTTATCCCTGTGGGCCCTGGGGTAGAAACAGTTGCAACTACCCCCGAGATACTACACTGTCTCCTGTGATTTCCCTATGCCTTGTCCACACTTTTGTAAATGGTCCTCTTTTTATTAAACTCTACTAACATTACCCAATTTGAGGGTGCTCTCTCTTACCTGTTGAGCCCTGACCAGTACAAGGCTTTGCTGAGTTGTCGATGTATCTGTTTTGTTTCCCACTTGATCACACGCAGGTGATACCTAGCAAGTGTTTGATAAATATTTGTTGAATGAATAAATGTCTAAATAAGTGAGTGGCAAGATTTGAACTCCAATTCCTCCTCTTCAAACTTCCAATATCCAGCTTAGTGTTCAGAGGTAAGGTACAGATGCTCGATGTACTCTGAGAGCAATAAATAAGCTTACGTTCTGTGGCTCCAGTTTCTAGGGCCCTCCATCTCCCCGAGTTTGCCCTAGTGACTCCTGCCCAGGGGTCTTCCTTCCCCGAGGAGCAATGCGCAATCACGTGAAGAGTATCTGAAATTTACAGAAATGATAAAGACGTGATGTCCACCAAATGAAGATTTTCTGGCTGCCTTCCTGGAACAGGATGTATTTTTAGGCAGGCACTTTATTTTTATTGATTTAAGTTTTTAAATTTGCATTATATCAGTTTTCAGTATTATCATGTAAAATGTTCAAGCATTTTCTAACACAATGAGGCGGTTCAAAACAAACAGTCTTTTAGATCTTCAAGCCATCGCTCAGCCATACTGGAATGTTAGTAAGAGCATGCAGAATAGAACCATAAATATATTTGTCAAACCTTGGAGCCTACTGTAGCATGTATTTGTTAGCTAGATATGTGGTAACCCCAGGAGTGCTCAAATAGGCATCCTGTATGCATGAATTAATTTTTCTTGTATATATCTGAGTACACAACATGAGAAACATCCACAAAATGAATGTTAGCCAATGGATCAGAGAAATATTTGAAATGATATCTCAGATAAGGGGTTAATATCCAAAATATATAAGGACACACACCATCAATGCAAAAAACAAATAATCTGGTCAAAAATGGCAGAGAACTCATAGACATTTCCAAAGAAGACAAAAATGGAGAATAGGTATGTGAAAAGTTGTCAACATCATAATCATAGAGAAATAATCAAAACTACAATGAAGAGTTCCCTCAATAAGTTAAACAGCTTTATCAAAAGAAAAACCAGGATAAAAGTGTTGCGAAGGGTGTGGAGAAAAGGAAACCTTTTGTAACTGTGGGTACAGACGGTTTAGTGACTGTAAATCATAATATGGAGGCTTCTAAAGAATTAAAAATAGAACAACCATATGTGACTCAGCAGTCACCCCATATGTGACTAATCTTTCACATGAGAATCGTGTATGATCTGTCCTTGTTATTGTGAGTTGTGCCTTCTCTCGGAAGGAGGCAGAGCCTTGGTCATGGGTCCCCATCGAAAGCGGCTGCCCAACTTGCTGTTCCCACTAGTCTGGCAGAGGCATGCCTGTGATGATTTTGTGAAAAGTACAGCAAGAAGTCTCAGTTCTAAGGCAGAGACAATGGGAATATAGATACTAGATATAGGACTAGATAGAACAGGAGAGTAGACATATTACACTGACAACAGTATAGGGATAAATATATAATAGCTGATGAGAGAAAAGAGGACACGTTGAGGCCCATAACATAGAGTGGCTAGCACAGAGCAACATCACCACGATCATAGGCAAGCAGAACATTAGGATGGAAGTGATCACTACACTGGAAGAGAAGAGTACCTTGATTAGCCTATATAGGATAGAGCTGAAACTGCTGCAAGAGACAACCAAAATGAGATGGCATCACCAGCGTTAATGAGCAGCGGGGGCAGGCGACACCCGAAGACATTGAAATATAGAAGTAAGCTCGTGGGGACCACATCCTCGCACTCCGCAGGGCAGGCAGTTCATTTGTGCTTCTGTCCAGGGCTCCTACGATTGTTGTGGCACGGTCTTTCCTGCTTCCCAGGAATGGAGTCAATTGGTGGCAGGACCAGGACAGCAGTGACTCGTATTTCTCGGTCTCAGTGAACCAAACGTTTAAACCGAGCAGGCGCAGATGGAGATGGGGTAGTATGGACAGCCACGGCCAGGAGGCTGAAGCGGAGCTGTGTTGAGCCTGACACCACGCAGGCGAGCAAGAGACATTCAGGGCAGGAAGCCAGGTGGATGAGATGGCAAAGGGGTGGCGACAGCCCCACGCTTCAGCCGCCGCGGACACCAGGAAATAGATTGGTGGGCGTACTGCAGTTGCACAACAAGCCACTGAGGCACCAGCAGCATGCCACTGCTGCGTGGTAGATGGCACTCTGCTGCATGCAATGCACCTTGCACCTCCAGCTCAAGTGGGCGCCAGGCCTGACATCACTGCCGGGCCGTGCTGGGCACTGGGCAGCCGGTGGCCCCACCAGGCATGGCGAGTGCGGACTGAGTTCACAGCTGTCCTTTTAAGGATTTCTATTTCTGCATGTGTTTTCTGTTAGTAACTAACTATATGAGTATTATTCAATAGAT